CATTTCATTATGAAGGAAAACGCAGGAACTAGTTGAGGTAGTTAGACTCTCGTCAAGAGAACAGAAGTACTAAGATTGTTCTGAACTTATGCGCGTAGAAACTATTTTTTTCAGGGCTCGGTTCAACGACCCGCGCTCAGGCCGGTGTTAGTGTTCTGGTAAAACCGAATATTACTGACAGCATCATTGAATGGAAGCCTGTCAGCGGAAGAGTGGCAGTCATCCGACTGAAGTAATCCAGAGTTTTAGTTTTTGACATTGTTACTGGTCTCTACACAAAATTCATAAAATATGAGTCTTTTTTGATGGAGTAGAAGGCGCACTGTAATAAGTGCCAGCTATGTAGTCCATCTTCCTGATGGGCGATTTCAGTGCGCCTTTCAGGGCAGACACTGAAAAGTGGTAAGTCGTGATAGGCAAGAACGATCGTAGCGTCCTCAGCAATAGCTGTATGAGGTGCAAACAACGGACTCTGTTATGAACACTTGCTTTGAGCATGGATACGTGCCTCAGTATACTTGGTATGATGAAGCGTGTGTGCAGAAGTCGATGAACGATTTTATAATCGTGTCGTATGACTTACGAAGCTCTGTGAATACACGTGTTAGGGTATGCGCAGAGCTGTCAACTGGTCATTGCCTTATTACTGACACCCTCTGTTGCGAGCGATGGAGTATCATGCGAATGCCTGGCTTCAGAAGCAATGAGAAAGTCAAATGGGATAAAGGGGCAAAACTTGCAAATATTATCGCACTACGATTTTAACAGATTCCAGTGATGAACGCCGATGTAGAAACCGACCGAAAACTCTGCAGCTTTAGACGGCAAAGTATTCGAGGTTTACGAAATCTAACCCTTGGAAATGTTATCTAAGATTGATATTGGGCAACCTTCACCTCTGCGGCGACGTATTTCTCGCCGCCAGCAGGTCGGCATCTAAATCTCAGAATGTTCTACTTGTATCGCACTGCGCTTCAGGTGACGCTGTCTCGTCTGCCATCGCCTTTCAACGTCTGCACGCTCCAGCGAATGACAGCTTTTCCTTGCAGATAATAAACTTCTGTTGGTCAGATTTCGTGGTAGTACAG